GGAGTGGTATTTGGGCACTGCCCAGACTGGATCCTGGCTGCTGTTGTAAGGCAGGATCTTTAGAGGTGAGCTTAGAGGTGTCCAGGACTCACCTTGCACCTCTGCTGCAGCCTCCCTGCAGCCCTATGGCTGCACCATGGTGTTAACACCACATTCAGGTGTGCTGAACTGAAATGACAAAGGTCCTGGGTATGTCAGATTGAACTCCTCTGCCATACTGCACTCACACTGCATCTTACATCCCAACCGGTGCTGCTGAGCCCACCTGAGCTCCTGTGCTCGGGTTCTACAAGTAATGCTGCCAAGAATGGTCCCTGCCCCACAGACTACAGCAAAGTCACCCCGGGCCCATTTTCCTCCCAGCCCTGAGCGACCTGCCTGACTCCAACTCCAGTTACAGCTTTGTCACTGGCTGCAGAAAATTGCCATGGCCAAAACCCATTTTCTGTCAAATTCTTATCTAATACATGATAGAAAACATGCAGTTGAGCCACACAGGACAAAGGAGAGCACAAAGCGCCACCTTGAACCCACTGAGTGCCCTTTCAGTACTTTCCTGGTACATGTTGGTCCTGTGTTCTGGTATTTACCTCTGAGATCCTAGAACAGTGACAAATGAGATCCCAGAATGAGATCCTGCCTCAGCACGTGCTGTTTGCAGTTCCTCTCCTCCAAAGGGCAAATTCTTCCAGTCCCTCAGCAGCATCTTTGTGAACTCATTTTAAATTGACCTTTCCTGAACATGTGGGCTGTGACTGACACAGACTATTCCAGGTGAAGGCTTTCTAGTGTTTCAGTGCTCTAGTGTTTTTCTAGTGCTCCAAAGTTCCTGGGGGGAATAAACCCTGAGCTTCCTTCTTCCCTGGTGTTGCTGGTGAATGAGCTCCCAGAATGTAGAGCCAGAAATCCTTGCTGTGACAGAAATCCTGGCCTTATGCTCAGGACAAAGTTTGGTACCAGTTTTACTCTCTGACCTGCCCAGGCTGCCACTACCCTCTCAGCCAGTCCTCACGTGTGTCATGATGGCATATGCGCCCATGATGTGCTGGAGCAGTGCAGAGAGCAGGCAAGCTGCAACTCATACATACACACACAGAGCCCAGAATCACTCACCCTGAGGTGGCTATATTTTGGGAAGGATTGCTCCAGAACACAAAGCAGAAGGGGTCATTTTCCTCTGAGGGATCACAAGCATCTACAATGATGGTCCACACAACAGCAATGTCACAGGCCCTGCAAGAACAAAACCAAGTCTATACCTGCAAGCACAATTCACCTCCTACACAGCAACTTCTCCTCTCACCACTAAAAGACTGCCAAACTAGGAGAAGAAATCAGAGCACAAGACAGCCCCGCAATGCATCAACACTTTGTGAGCCATTCACCCTATCACACCCACAAGCAACTCACCCAGGACACAGACTTGGCCTGATCAAAGACTGAGATTGATGCTTCTGTCCCTGTACAGAATCCATGGAGGCCTCCTGGCTTCCTTCAGCCATCCCATGCTGCTGGCCACACATGGTGACAGCCTGGTACGGCCTTTGATGTGCTTGGGATGGGTCTGGGATCTGGGAAAGCTGGAGATGGTTCTCCCTTGTTCCCTCAGGTATTGTTTTAAATGGGTCTTTCTGATTTCAGCTGCTGTGGATTGATGTGAAGGGCAGTAGGCATCCAGCTCATAGTCTGTGTCCATCATTTGCCTGTTCTAATGAGAAAACAAAGGAGTGGACTCCCTACACAATCAGATTTGATGCCACAGATCCCAACAACCATGGTGTGTAGGGTGACTCTTGGCACCCCACAGCTGTGTCTCACCGCTTGCCCTCCCTCTGTGTCAGTGCTGAGAAAACACTTTGAGGTGCTGTTTGTGCTCCCCCCTCACTCCAAGGTGATGAGGGCCTGTCTGGGGAGCCTGACCTGGAGATGGCTGTGGAGATGTCAGAGCTGCTCAGTTCCAGCTGTAGCTGAGCAAGGTTTTCAGGATGCCCAGCAGGTCCCCATCACCCTGAGGGCCTCACCTGGACCCTCCCCAGCCACACGCCCCATTGGCCCCAGCTCTGTACTTCAGCTCAGGTAAGGGACTTTTCCTTTCTCTGAGAGGTGTGTTATAGATCTTTCATTTTCTATTAGTTTTTATATTTTATGGCTCTATTTACTTTCTGTCTTTAATGCAGTAGTGTTATTGGACTGCCTTTGACTCCTGTTTAGGTACTGCGGGGGTGATCTCTGGTTTCCTGCTGTCCTTAGGTTCAGGTTTGTTTGTCTTTTGGTTTTGTTGTCATTTGCCTGCATTGCCTGAGCTGGTACCAGTATGTGACTTCATGGGGATTTTGCTTCTATTGATTAATACAAGAAGGCTGGAACATGTTCTTTTTAAAGTGTGCTTGTTAGCTTTTGTCCTATTGATTACACATAGAAATGCTCAGTCTGCTCACAGCATAATGGTTGAGCTTGTTGTTATCCTGATGTCTGGCAAGCTGCTGCTTATCTTTTCAAGCCTAGTTCAGATTAGAGAGGCTCTTCTGGTGACAGGTACCTATGGAGGGGAACTATAAGGGACCTGCTAAAAGTAAGGACACTTTTTTCAGGTCAAGTCAGAGCCCCGGAGCTTTCTGTTCTGGATGTGGATGTAAGTAAGGGCTGGAGCACTCACTGTCATTCCTGAGATTCCTTTCCTCTATCCTTAATCTGTATGAGGAGGGAGAAGGCTTGCTGTGATAATGGTGGGATGACTATTACCAGCTCTGCTATGGGTCTGGATTTTGGGGAGGGAGGCAGGAACAGGAAAGGCAAAACCTGTCATCCCACATACAAAGGCCACCTAGTTTAACTTGGGCCATACATACTGTTCTTTCCCCTCCTGGCTCCTGCTGCTGACTAAAAAGCTCCCCTTGTCTTCTCTAAATGCTGTAGCTCAGCATGCAGGGTGAGAGCCTGAGAGCTGCCTGCTGTGCTGGGGAGAGCTTAGTATGTTGGGGATGGTTCTAAAGGGTTGTACCCCAGCTCTAATGGCTGAAGGGATGTCAGGGAGCTGGTAAGTTAGTCCCTGACCCCGTGAACAAGTTTTCTAAGGTCAAGGGATGCCTTAAAAAGCAGAAGTAGGAGGGTTTGCAGAGGAACACATTTAAGAAACCCAGCCCAGATGTGCAACCAGTTGTCCCTTTCCACTGCATGATGCTGGTGGCTGCAGGTTGACAGCCTTGTTGCCCCAGGGCTTGGGAGCTGGGCTTTGGGCTGTCTTGCCCAGTCCCTCCTTCCTCCTTTGCCTCCTCCCTGCATCAGGCAGAAGCTGCAGGGTGTCTCTCTTCCCTCTCTCTTGCACTTGGGGCTGCATCCTTCTTCCTTGCTGCACTGAAGAAGGGGCTGCTGTGGAGCTCTTGCACCTGTAAGTGGGGGTCTCTGGTTCGAGTGGGGTGGGGAGCTGCTCTTAACCTGGGTTGGGCTATTTCTCCCTTCCTGCTGTAGCTGGGAACTGAGGTAAAACTGCAGGTGCTTTGTTAGCAACAGGTTTTGCGTGCGGGTGAGGTGGGATGCTGATCCTGCTGCTCCAAGGTGGGGCTGGGGTTGCCCCAATTGACTTGGGGACATAACACTGCTTGTGTGGGGCTCTGAGTGATGCCTCTTGGTAACCAGAGCCCTATGTGCTGCTTAGGTTGGTACTAGGGAGGTGCAAGGCTGCAATCCTGACTGCTTCATGCCCTGGGGGGTGGATAACAGGTGGCTGTAAATGCTGTGGACCCAAATGGCTTTGTAGTTCAAAAGCTGGGTATACAAAGGACAAAACTTCCCTGTGCTAGTGGGGATGACTGTGTGTGAAGGGAGAAAGCATCTGTGGTGCTGCTGCTACTGGAAATGCCATTCTACATGGGCTGGCTGCTGAAGCCCTGAACAGAGCTCCAGGTTTTCATAGAGGAAAGCCTGCTGCCACTACAAGCCCTCCTGTGGAAGAAGGGTGAGTAGAGCCACTGGTGTCACAGGATTTGATTTTTCCTGATTGACTCTACAAAGAGCTATCAGTTTAAAAGGGCTGAAATGATGTTGTAAACGTCAGTTGTCAAATGCTGCCAGTTAACTCTGTCCCCCTGCTGACTCCTGGGGACTTCAATGCCAGCGATCAGAGTGATGCTAATTTTGCTGTGAATGAAGGTGCAGTGTTTTAGAGTGAGTTTTATGTTGGCTCTACCTCTACTAGTCCATGCTAGCAGTGTCACTGGATCCAGATCAAACGGCAAATATGCACAGGGATACAGCGGAGAATTCTACCTCAATTTCAGTGTTATTATGAAGGGAATTGACATGAAGAGTCTCATTGAAGGTGTATTTCAATGGACGGTTTAGGTCAAGGACAACCTCTTGTCAATCAGAACACCTCTCCAAGGGACAACTCTGTAATTTTTACTTTTACATGCTCTTACTTTGCTTTTAGATCAATAGCAGACAACTACCAGTAGAATAAAAGTATCTGGAGCTTGAAGTACCTTTTGTTATCTAACTCTATGTACAGAGGAGCAGTACCTTGTTCTTTAAATCTGAACCGTGTTTGAGGGCTGCAAAGGATGAAATGCAGTGGGAGAACTTTCAAGTGTTTTGCTGGAGAAAGGATAATTAATTCAAAGCAACTCTGTGCAAACCTCAAAAATGGCTCTCCCTTGCAATGAGGGAATGTGAGATGTCACCTCAAACCAAAGGGACAGGCCTGCGCTGCTGCCTCTCTCAGAAGGGGAATCTTAGTAAGGAAGACTTAATTCCAGTCCTTACTGCTTGAGGCAAAGAAGCAGCATGGCTGTTTGCCCTTCTGGCTATTGCCTGTCCCAGATCCTGGCTTAGTTTACCTTTGCCTATTGCACATCACAAATTCTGGGTTGTGTTGGCGTTAGTAGTGGTTTTAATGAGCATCTCTGGGAAGCTTATTTGCTCCCCAGAAATCTCAGTCTCTTGAAGGGTAAAAGCTGAGTTTATGTACCATGTGCTTTTGGCAAGCAGTCCAGTTGCTACAGCCCACATCCTGCCAAACCCCATATGGTGACATTCTGCCACTCTCATGGATTTTTGCATTCATCTGGACTTGCTCTTTTGCTGAATCTGGTGGAGCTGATGGTGTGGCTCTGTACAGAAGTGCCAAAGGCCAAGGTACGGCCAGGGTCTTTAAGAGGCTGTGGAGGGACAAGCAGGTAGCAAACTGCCTGGAGTGGTGTGGCTGTTACTGCTGTACAAGCTTGCAGGGCTCTATAAGGGAGGAATAAGATGGGGAGAAAATGGGTACAGAAATGCAAGTTAATTGAGCTAGGTCAACTGCTTCCATGGCATTGCTCTAGTTGTCTTGTGAGCTGTGGTCTGAGCTCCTCAAGCTATAGTAATGGGTAGTTTCTATGCAAATCATAGAGCATAAGAAAACTGACCCCCAGCTTGCAGTTGCTTATTAGATGAGGATGTCTGTATGGTGCAGCTACTGCCATGCAAGAAATAGAATGGGACTGTCTGCCCTGGCTGTTGCTGCTGGTGTGAGTGGGATATCTCAAGGGTAAACTGAAGTTAGGATGAGCCTGACAAGGGACATCTGTGCCCTGAGGCACTGACCTGCTGAACACCCTCAGCTCCTCCAAACTGAAGGTAGCACTTCATTTGTACTGGGTGAGAACAGTGCTAATTAAAAGCAGAAGTTTAACAGTTGGTAGTAGCTGATGCCAGTATTTGATGTGTTTGTGCCCTTAAACCAGGAGAAGTGATTAATCAATGCTATAATGATAGATGGCTTTATAGATATAAGCAACTTCCTCCATGACATTTAAATCTAAGGACAAGATGTTTTGAAGCTTTTGGCCTGACCTCTCCTGGGAGGAGGGTCATCTGTCTTGAATGCCAGCTTTTTGCCATGGTAAGTGAAAGCTCTCAAGAGTACAGAAAAGCAGTTGTCACTCTAGGAAGGTAATGATTAACTCTGCCTTTAGAAGGGAAGAGTTACTGTACTGCTGGTTTTTGAGTGCCACTGAGACTGAAGACTCAAATCCTGAAGCTGAAGGTTTCACTAAAATACCACTAGCCATGAGGTGACCCTGCTAAAGATGGCCAGAGGGTGCTTTTTCTGCTGTTGCCTTCCAGCTGATAAACCCAGGACGTTTGAGCAACCTGCTGGTAGCAGTGTTATGATACGGCTGGCAGACCTTATGTTATTTAGCTGAATAACGTCATTAAACTGAAAGATGAGAACAGCCTAATGACCCATTAAATACACTACACTCTTCAGCATTAGCTGCTTTGAGTCCAGAGGCAAATGCTGTTTGGAGCGATTGTGGCAAGCTTGAGATTCAGCTAGCACTTGTTGAACACTGTTGGCTTCAGGGGAGTAAAGGGAGCCAAGTTCCATATGTGAGCTCAGGTCCATTGAAATGGAGACTCTGAGCAGGGGCAAAATAGAATCCATCTTTAGAGCTGAAATACAGATGTGTGGGTAACTTGTCATAGGTGCAATGGTAGTTTCCAGCTATTTTGACAGGGGTGCTGATAACCTGGTGAAATGATGGTTAATGTTAACAAGTGACAAAAGGGATCCTCAGAAAGGAGAGATGACAAAGCAGGACCAGCTTACAGTGTCACTGACCCAGCTGGGCTCATCCCTGTCACTAGTGCTGCATGTTGCTCTCTCCTTCATCCCTGACAAGATGCAGTGTACATGGAAAGAACAGAGCAAAGGAGACATGGATGACTCTCGAACAGCCTATGTTTGGACAGAACACCACTTGTACGCTGACAGCTTGAACTCCACAGGTTACATCACAGTATGTTAAGAGTATGTAAAAATTCTGACCTCTTCTAGAGGTACCTATCAGCATTATTAAGGTGTGGGTTGAAATTGGAGTGGTTTTAGTGGCTCAATGCATAATGACAATAAAGTCACTGAGGCAGTAAATAAGAGTTCGAGAGTACTAAATGGATTCAAATAATCAGAGCAATTCACAGAAAGAATTGGTGGATCAATCTGTGAGTGTGTAGCTGTGTAGATGATAGCGTGCCAAGTTGGTAAATGTGAACAGTCAGAAAGCAGGAAGGTATGGGAGAAGTTCACTCCACAATTCTACAGTCCTCCTACAAACTACTAGCTCTTCCTAGAGAGATGGCATTATGCAGATGAAACCCTTTCTATATCCTTAATAGCCATGTTTTGTTCTTCTTTTAGTGTTGCTGTCCAAGTCATGTTTCAGATGTGTCTGATCCAAGGACTGCTCTGGCAGCCTGAGCAAATGGTTCTGTTCTGGGACCTGAATGACTTGCACTGCTCCCAGCTCTGTCTGGGGTCGGCTTGAATGGCGATGCTGGCTCCTAGAATAGCTGACAGCAGGGCAAGTTGAGTAATTATTTACTTAGGACCCTTACTTCATTCTTAGGATCAACAGCATCTTCCCACATCACAGAATGGGAGCTTCTGTAGGTACTTCCCATGGAATGGTTGTCCCACTTGCAGCTTCTGCCTAAACTATGATTACACTTGCTTCCACCTTCTACCTGCTTCTCCAATTATTTGGTTCGCTTTCAATACTCCAAATGACATAGCTGTTTTCTCTACTGGTGTGCTCTGTCAGGGACTGGCTCACGTGCAGAACCTGAATCTGCCTGTAAAATTAGATGAATCAGCTTTGTGCCTACCATCCAGCCAATATTGAAGGACTGGGGATGGTAAAAATCAGCTATTGTGCTGGAAGGTGGCAATTGAGGAGGCTTATCTCCCATTAGTGAGGACTTCAGTGCTGAAAAAGGATCACCAGTGATCTTTCAGCTGTTCCTAGGGCTTAATCCACACCACTTAGCGCTAAGTGCTCACTGGAGTGTGTATGTAATTTCACTGTTCCCTACTCAGCTGAGTGCTTTAGGATTATTTTTCCTTGTGTTGTTGCTATTAGTGGTAGTACTGTTCTTATTTCTTGCTCTGCTGGTAGCCAGGAGTCTAAGGCTAAAAAGACTCCTTAGATTCTGGTTGCAATAAAACCACTAAGATGCAAAATTATGATGTTTGGGTTGTGAGTAGTCTTGAGGGAATTCTTGTGACAATGACAAAAAGCCATTTTCATGTCTAAGGGAGCTAAATTCTTGTGACTTGCCAGGCTTCTTAACGAAGTGGCTGGGTCAGTGTGCCTCTGTGTGGAAATCTCACTTTAACCTAATTTCAGGGAACAGTTGGCTGAGGTTTGAGTCAAAATTCAAAGCAGTTTGTGAGGATGCAACTAGAAAAACTGTAAATTCAGAAGCTTAAAGGCTGAGTAAGCAAAAAAATAGGAGCATAATGATAAGCAATAGGGGAGCAAGCTCTAATTTGTCAACAATTCAGACATTATAAACTTATTAAATCGTTTTTCAAACCCATATATTTTTTCCTTGCCATTCATATATACAGAGGGGAAGTGAGGACCTCATGGAAATGATTAAGCAATGGTGTTGCATGAGTGGGACTTCTGGAAAGGGTTAATTCCAGAAAATTAACATCCACATCCCCCTTAAAAACCATCCTCTTGCTCTGCAGTTGTGTAAGGAAGTGTTAGAGTCACCAGCCCTGGAGGTATTTAAAACACATGTAGATGTGGCACTGAAAGACCTGGTTTAGTGGTGGACCTAGATGATTCTATGATTCAGTGCCTGAAAGGATAAAATCTGTACACTGGCAGCTTACGGTCAACTAATAGCAAATGGCAGAAAACTTTTAGCTAGAGCAAAGGTTTGCTATGGAACATCTTCAGCTTTACTCACCTTGAGTGTGGTGATAAAAATCAATGTTGGACATGAAAACTGTGTCATTATTTGAATGTCAGAAAAATGAAGGAGGATGGAAAAAATTCTGTCTTCTAGAGAAACATAACTTGTAAATCAGAAGATGGCAGGGGAGGCATTTACGTTTGAGATTTGGCTTTTGGATGAAATTTTTCAGGTTCTTAGCTCAGGTGGGTGAGTAATTGGCAATGAAGTCTTGGTTTATTTATTATAGCAATATTACCACTACCATTGCTCTGGGGGTAGGCTTGGGGCTCTAGACAAGATAGGAAAAGTTCAAGATATTTAAAAAAATAATACTTTGACAAAACCCTTTCTTTGGGCCCAGATCAGACTCCCCAGATAAATGGCTGTAAGGGGAGGAGAAACAGTTTAAGTCCATTCACAGGAGTTCTGTGTGTGCCTTAGAGTGGTGCCTCTCCCTGGCATTGCTCAGTTAAAAATGAGACATTTCATTCTCATTGGATACTTGGTTTTCCTCATGGAAGTTCTTGTCAGTAAGAAAACGTATTTTTATGGCAACTTACTGGTTTTAGCGTGACTTTTCTTTCACAGCTCCTTTTACCTAGCCAAAAGTATACTATTTTGAGATTAGACACTGAAAGGTATTTCATACATCAGAATTTCCATCGTTTGTTGTATGAGAAAGTGAATAAAATAAAGCTCTACTACCTTAATTCATAAGTATCCTCAGTTTGTACTTTGCAGGTTAAGCCTTGTATTCTACAGCCTGAGAACTTCTGCATAGGTGGGAAGCTGACATTAAGTGCAAAATGAAGTTAAAACGTACCTTAAAGCAATTTCCAAGCAGTCAGTGGTATTCTCATGCCATCCAGACCTGGGGAAAAGGCTGTCTGGCCTGTGGCCTATATCTTGCTGAGCCCAGGTTCTGCAGTGTGTTGGTGACAGTCTCTGCACATCATTTACTTAGCCTCAGCCTGGATCCTGGTGTTTGGCTGATATTGAAGTCTCACTTCTTGTCTGGAAGAGAAAGCAAAGATGCGGCCCACTTGCACTGAACTGCAGACATCCATCCTTCATGTCCAACCTATAGAATGTGTGATGTTATGATAAAGTATTTTTAAAATATACAGCAAAATGGGAGAACATATTGCCACATGTTATCTTTTGGATTAAAAGACCCCTTATGTTACAGTACTTCCCTGTAGGTCATACTTTTGAGCCCTCTGCTCTTTCTTATAGGCTTTCCATACTCCATCGAAGTCTGTATCAAGTTCAACAAGCAATCACATCTATGATAAGCTATTGCTTCCTTTGGAAACATTACATTTAAGACAGAGGTCACTTGTGACAACTTTCTGGTCTCCTACTACTTTATATGCCCCAGTTAATTATAGAAATAGCTGCTAATAGCACTTCACACAGGTGGGAATGGTCACAGTTGAGCTTTTTACATATCTTTTTTTTAGGCGAGAATAATTAGTTTGTTTTGGTCAATAGTATCTTCTGATCCACTGAGGCATTGGGCAATCCATGCATCGGTCTTCTGTGAATCTCTAAGACACTTACAGAATGAGCTTGTGCTATTTTTGCTATCCCTCAGCAGCAGGATTTTCTAATGTTCCAGCAGACCAGTGAACGTTTTCCAGGGTCTCCAGGAAATGGCCATAGCTGACCCATTACTGAGTACAGAGCTCAGGGCAAGGAAAGAACACATATTTTTAGCACTTAGCACACTGAATTCTCTTTTCCTGCGACAACATGCTTCTGTTCTTCATGTCTCCAAAGGTTCCTTGTCTCTGTTTCAGCTTCTAAAGAATTCTGTGATAAGATTTCAGACACACAAAAATCAAGATAAAAACAGATGGCTGGTTGTAACAATAGATGAACCTGGCTCCAGTGGTTACTGGATTTCTTCCATGTGGCAAACTTAAGAATAATTGCATTCACTTCATAATTACCTTGACCTGTTTTTGATGAATAAAACACTGATTTTCCATACCCAGTGGCATGGGATTGTCCTGGTCACACTGTGAGGCTTTATATTGACTATTTGTATCTGGGCGCTGTTACTGAGATTTCACAAGTATACCAGCCTCCTCTTTAAAATCCCAGCATGTGGGACTGGGCAGCTCTTCACTAGTGCAGGCTCTTGCTTTACTACTTTGCAGATCTTCCTCTGGTACACTAAACGAAGTGGGGAGGCCATGCCCTTATCAAATTGCCACGTGGAAGCAAATTACGTTTCTTCATCATCTTGTTTTATTTTTGCATTGCATTATTTTGTCCCTTGTCTTAGATGACTTCTGGTTCTGTCTTCTCTTCCTCTCTCGAGTACTTATCCCTGCATTAGCTGGCACATACATTGTGAAAACAGAAGGCGCTGCTTTCATTTCTCCTTCCAGCCAATCTTTTCCCCCCTCAGCTTCAATATAATAAAAATACAGATACCTTTTCCATTTCCTGTAAGCTATGGTATTCATACAGCAAATTCACTGTGTTTGCTACAGTGACATTAGATTTCATTAATGCAACTGGGATCAGACCACATAAGACAAACAGACACAGCTCCTGATTTGCTCTGAGGCTGTTTACAGCTCCTTGTTTACCAGTTAGGAACAAGAACTGGTCCAGAGTTCATTACTGAAGAGATTGAAAGCTGCTGCTTTCTGATACATTGGTACACAAAGAGAAAAAATCCAAGCGCTGTATCCAAAAAGCAATTTTAAAAATGATTGATCCTGCTTTTAGGGTGTTAAGGCATTATTTCAGTTGTCTTAATGAACAGAACTGCGTAATTAATTTGCTAGAGAACTCCCATTGCACAGACTGAGCCACAAGGGTTTGTGCTCCTGGGCCCAAAGCCCTCAAAAAGCCAATCTACAGAAGGCAAGGAAGGAAAAAGCCACCTCTGTCTCATCTGCTGGAGTGTCCTTCTTCAAGCACCACCCCTGGGAAGCAAATGATTACAGAAGAAAATTAGTATTCATTTACAATAATAATAGTAAGATTGAATGCATTTATGGGTGTTCTATTTGCAGACAAACATTGAGAACATGAACTTAGGTGGAACCTCAGAGAAGCCAAAACAAAAGAAGCAAATACACATTTAGTTTTGTTAGAGGCTGAGAAGGGCAGAGGGCCTGACTATCCAGATTCTTGGGATTGGTTGCTCTGTCAGAGAGATGCTGAGCTTCAAATGGAGTTTGAGTGACACAGCATCTCCTGGGACTGATAAAGCAGATCCAGGGATGTGATTAAAGAAACAGAATAAGCTACTAATGTCAAACATCTACCTGTGAATTCTGCCAATACTCTTCATCCTGTGTGTATGCAAAGTGAACGGTAACACTGCCGTTAAAACACTTTCCATTGCTGTTCACTCTGATCTTTGGCTATTTAAAGCATTTGGCACTTAATACATTGGAATAGAAATATTCTCAATCCCTGGCACCTAACACTCATTTTTATTTCCTGGGAGAGGGCTGCTCTACACAGAGTGACAACAGGATGTCACCTTCCATCATTACTCCACAGATAGAGAAAAAAGCAGCACACGCCTGGTCATCAGGTACATGGGAGGCAGCTGAAAACTGAGCAGCACAAAGCAGGGCCTGCTCCAGCTTCCTTTTCATAAGAAAAGAGATGTAGCCAGCACTTCCCTTCCCTCACATACAAACTCACCAGGATTTGGGTACTTTAATTTAAATCTCATTTATTCTAAGGAATTTCTAAGTGTCCTAAAGGTACCTGCATCCATGCATTAATCTTATGCCTTCTGCCACCAATTAATTTTGCTGTTCTTTTATGTTATGTACTCCTCCATCCCCCTGCCTCTTTGGGCATCTCCATCTGGTAGGTAAAATAAATAAATGTGGGAAAACCTTTTGAATGCTGTTTCCAAGTCAAGTTATCTGGTATCAGCTGTAAATGTCCAGATGCCCATGTTGGCCTGTTATGTAGACTGATACCATCTCTGTGTGAGTTGTATAATATGTATGTTGGAATTTTGCCATGTGAAGATTTGATTTAGAACTTTGGTGCAGCATCTGGTGTAACCTGATGTTTCTTCAGGACAAGAAAACAGATTGTGATCTACGAAGTTAATCTCAAACAGTTTAATTTGGAAGTAACTCAGTGTGGGGCACACAAATTCTGTACCTGCCTTAAATGGATTCTTTCAGCTCCAGGCAAACAAGAAGCCTCACGTCCCTTATGTTCAAGCCATCACACCAGCCCAGATGATTCAATATCAAGAAAGTTCAGAATTCTTCAAATCTTTTCTAGAAAAGCTTTGTAGTGTTTGACAACAGTCATCTAATAAAATATAAAATACGGGAACTTACTTGACAGTGTAAACAAACCTTGGGGGGGACAAGTATTACTCACATTTCATAGCAGGAAAACTGCAACATGGAGAAATTACCAGTCCCCCAGTATCCCATGGGAATTCAATAGCAGAGCCAGGAAATTAATCCAGACACCCTGTACCTCACTGCGTTTTAAACACGGTGTGGTCCTTGGTGTTTGCGGACTCATCTCCTGATCTACACAGCTTGTGGGCAGGGCAGTGACATCAACTGTGGTCTCATACCAACTGTACACAAAAATATTTCATTTTCAATCAAAGGGGATTGCATTTGGATGCATTCAGGCAGAAGGTCTGAGCCACTTCACAAAGATTTCATTTAGTCACTGTTTCTCCTATCCAGGGAGGCTCAGAACATGGCCTGTTAAAAAGCCACAGAGGGATGAGTCTACATAAGCTCTGCATGTTTTTCAGCACACAGCATGTCCAAACTAGTCATATTTCTTCTGATCAATTCCAAGCACACTAAAATGACCTCTTTTAAATGTCTGTTGAAGCACATTAGAACACGAGCAAGAAAATGGACTCAAACTCTCCGTTCGAATGGCCTCACATGCTGAATTATAACAGGACTTACAAGTACCTCTACTTAGAAGGGAATGTCTCCTACGTGGACTTCTACCTTCATCAGCCTTTAGTGGCAGCTGTCTTCATCATTTCTTACCTCCTGATCTTCCTGCTCTGCATGGTTGGCAACGGAGTGGTTTGTTTTATTGTGCTGAAGAGCAAACGTATGCGTACAGTCACAAACATTTTCATCTTAAACCTGGCTGTCAGCGATTTGCTGGTGGGAATCTTCTGCATGCCTACCACCCTCCTGGATAACATCATTGCAGGTAGGCTGGTTCACACCCCTTGGTGGAAAGACCTCAAGGGGGGACTCACCTTGAGGTCCTGAGAGCCGGGTGCCTGTTTCTGAGTGGGCTATGAAGGGAGTTCACAGAACGGGTTGGAAGGGACCTTAACGCTCATCCAGTTCTGGCCCCCTGCCATGGGCAGGGACACCTTCCACTAGACCAGGTTGCTCCAAGCCCCGTCCAACCTGGCCTTGAATACTGCCAGGCCAGGTTCAAGTCAGTGGAAGTCAGAGATAAGAAAGACAAGCACCTAACCCACCTCCTGACTGGGGATGTCTTCACTGACTTCCACATCCCTCATCTTTCAGAAGGGATTCTCCCACTGCCAGATGACATGTTTAGAAAGAGGGTGCTATGAGCCAGATGCAGGAACAACCAACTGTGCTGGTCAGTTCTCTTCCTTGTCTTGAGATCTCCTTTTAATGGGATGTTAAATGGGATGTTTCTGGACATGAGGAAAATTTTTCACAATGGGAACAGCCATTGTTCTCATAGTGAAAATCCACTGGGGTAGTGGTGGATTCCCCAACACTGGACACTTCTAAGTTTTGGTTGCACAGGGTGCTGGGACATCTAGTCTAGGTCATGCTTGCCTAGAAAGGTTGCACCAGATGATCCTTGAGGTCCCTTCCAACCTGGGATTCTCTGACTCTATGAAATGTTGCTTTGCTGGTTTTTGGAACATTAGAAACTCACCCAAGGCATTTGGCAAAGCGTTTGTTTACAAAACCTCTGCTTTCCTGACCCTTGCTATGGCCTGACACAACCAAAGAAACTTCTTAGCACTGGGGTGGAAATTTCCTGTTACTTGTATAAGCATAATGCTGCAGTGAGCTGGTGGGAATTTCAATTGCCTGTTTCCTTCCAGGGTGGCCATTTGGGAACCTGATTTGCAAGATGAGCGGGATGATCCAAGGAGTCTCTGTTTCTGCCTCTGTCTTCACTCTAGTTGCAATTGCTGTTGACAGGTAAGATGGTGCAGAGACTGCAAACTGCCTCTTCCATCTCCCTCTGCCACTTGACCAGACTGAGGTTGATTCATTAATCCACACAAGAATGCAATGAACTGGGTACATTTTACTGCTAAGGCTACTAAGCAAATCAGAATGTGGCTGGGTCTAAAGAGCAGCCATGACAATTTGCTCCTCCCCTGGTATCTCTTAAAGACACTAGATATGGGCTATGCCTGCCTAGAATTAGACTGTTCCTTAGCTATGAAGATATATAGCAGAGGCACTAGTACCTGCTTTGGTTCAGTGAAGTAGCAGTAGCAGGAGGCTGATACATAGCAGCTGTCCCGTATCTGAAGAGGCCCTCCAAAGGTGCTGGACAGGGACTCTTCATCAGGGACTGTAATGACAGGACAAGGGGTAATGGGTTTAAACTTAAACAGGGGAAGTTCAGGTTAGATATAAGGAAGAAGTTCTTTACTGTGAGGGTGGTGAGGCACTGGAACAGGGTGCCCAAAGAAGTGGTGAATACTCCATCCCTGCAGTATTCAAGGCCAGGCTGGACAGGGGCTTGGGCAACATGGACAGGCAGAAGGCATCCCTGCCCGTGGCAGGGGGATTGGAACTGAATGATCTTTAAAGTCCCTTCCAACCCAAACCATTCTGTGATTCTATGATATGGAGATTAAAATGAGGAAATTTTAATAGTGAATGCGCCCTTTTTTTTAATATTGTTTTTACCACACAGCTCTTGAACAGAGAATCTCAATGCAATTCCAGTGGTTCATGCAGGATGAGGAGATTATTCCATCTATGTTTTTAGAAGCCATACAATTTCAGTGCATTTGTAGGCTTGCCTGTTAAGACTCAGCATTCCTTAAATGGCTTTTCCATGTCTATGTTTGCTGCAGGTTCCGGCGCATCGTTGACCCATTCAAGCAGAAGCTGAGCAGTGCAACTGCAGTTGCCAGTATTGTGCTCATCTGGATTCTGGCCATTGCCATCATGTGTCCTTCTGTGGTCATGCTACAGGTACAAGAAGAGAAGCGTTTCAGGGTCATCGTTGGCTACGGCAATGAAACCCGCCCTGTGTACTGGTGCCGGGAGGACTGGCCTGACCCAGGAATGAGAAAGATCTATACAACAGTTCTGTTTGCCAGCATCTACCTGGCTCCCCTGTCACTCCTTATCCTCATGTATGCCAGGATAAGCATGGCTCTCTGCAACACAGCAGTGGCCGTGGGGGGCAAAGACAGCCAGGAGCAGCAGCACAGCAGATCCAAGAAGAAACAAAAAGTCATCAAAATGCTCATTATTGTGGCTCTGCTCTTCGCCGTGTCTTGGCTTCCCCTGTGGACTCTGATGATGCTCACAGACTATGCCAACCTTTCCGACGTGCAGCTGCAGATCATCAATATTTACATCTACCCCTTTGCTCACTGGTTGGCTTTTTTCAACAGCAGTGTCAACCCCATCATCTATGGGTTCTTTAATGAAAACTTCCGTCGTGGCTTTCAGGCAGCCTCCAAACTCCAGCTCTGCTGCAAGGAAATGGATCACGGGGAGCTCTGCTCTCGGCAAGGCCAAGGCAATGCCATTCTGCCAGCTGCCAATGACCAAATGCCCCAGGATCAAGCTTGTCAAAATGTAGACGAGGAGGCGGGGAAGACAGTCAAGAAAGGAAACTGGGTGAATAACCAGCAAGATTTGGTAATGGAGGATTTAGAAGAGCCCTGCAGTGATAGTGATGGGCTCAAGTGAAACGTGCTGTGAAGTCCTAAATGATTTATGCCTGGCAGAGTTTATTTATCTTGTGAAGTTCGTGCTCTGTAAGCAACCCTTTCTGACAACGACAAGAAGGAGATAGATAGGCAACTGTTTTGAAGGAGACAGACAACTTGCAGCACATCTGAATATCTGACATCAATAAGAAACTGAATTCAGCCCTTTGTGTCACCAGTTTAAACCAGTGGCAGCTCCCCTGCAGTGGGTGCTGACTGACTGCTCTTGATCCAAGCTGCAGAAAGGACCTCATTCAAATGGGAAAGCCTTCCACTTTCTGTGACATAAAAGAGAAAGAGAACTAAGATTATTGACTTGGATACAATTACTGTGGATACTCACTGATGAAGAGGAGAACACTAATTCATTTTCTTCTGTGAATCTGAAATATTAGAGGTACAGTCTGAATATTTGAACTGAACTCACTGGTTCATGGGTCTTCTTGTGATTGAACTTGTGTTACTTCTGCCTGGATGTTTGGAATGCCAACCAGCTCTGACCCAAGTGACCAGAAAGAAGCGTCTTCAGCCACATTCCATTTATTCCCCTTTCGAGTTGCCTGTCCTGTTCATCCTGTGATATCAATTATTGTTGCAGCTAGAAAAATAAATAGGTGTGAAAAGATGAGAAATAAAGGATGAAAAATGGCCTTTGTGATACATTTTTTTGGGGAACTCAATTCTATTTTGGGGTGGGGGGGGAGGCAGGGAGATGGAGAATATAAGTCACCTAAAAAGATGAAATTTCAGTACTAGACAGAGACAGAGCACCTTTAGGGCCTATTCAGTCTGACAGAAACCAGCACATACAGACAGCAACCTTGGAAGCGTCTCAGGAAGGATCCTGAAATGGGTGAGGAGCACAGGGTAGTGTCTACACAGATTTGCCACATGATTAGAGCGTTGCCATGTCTCATCCCGTGAGGGTCTGTAGGGACCAAGCACCAGAGAAGCTCATTCCCCAGCACAGTCCTCCTTTGGGTAAACTGGAGCACCTTTCAGATCATGACATATTTCCACAATTCAGGAAACCTGACAACTTTTCAAGCTGTGCCATCCCAAACTATGTTCCTTTCTGAAGAGCAGAAAATAAGGAAAACATGTGGGCAGTAATGAGAAGAAAAGCTACCAGAGCAGCTCTGATTTCACCAGTCCATTTTATCTAGGCTGAGATTGTCAAACAAGATGATCTTAAAGGGCCCTCCCGACCCAAAACATTCTATGAGTCTATGAAATATGGATGCCTGACCCTGCTGCGCTTTGCTTGAAAACCCCACCACAGCTGTTTCCCACCCTTCCTGCACCCCTTCCATCCAGAACTTTGTCCTTCACGTGTAGTTTGTACTTCCCAATGATTCAGCAATGTTTTGAGAATATTTTAAAGTGTAACTAACTGTATGCTTATGTTCATCCCAGTTCAGCAAAACACTCAAAAAACTCCCAAAACCTGCACAAACTGACTGCAAGGAAGACACAAAAATGCCCCAAAGTGTTTGGCTCAGTCTGGTACTTATTCCACTGGAGAACAAGGGTGCTGAAGTGAAGTCCATCAAGTGGTTTGCCTTCACAAGACACTGGCCTGTGCTCAGCACAGATGTGCGCTTTCTAGTTGGACCCATGGCTACCAACACTTGTCCACTTTCCCCACACGAAAAGCACATTCATAACCCAGCACCAGTGAAAGCAGCTGGTCCTCTGGATCCCTGACAGCCCTACCAGTAAATAATTATTGCCTGTATTGCTTTTCCTTTTCTTGTGATTCAAGTTACGTTGATCACGAAAATGATCCTTTTCACTATAGAAGTGATTCAGTCCTGAAATCATTTGACAGCTTATAAGAGCAAGTAATGAAAATTACTTTAGACAACACAAGCTTTAGGAGATGGTTCAATACCCATGCTCAAAGACAGAAATTGTCCAAAATCAGCAAGGACTAAGCGTTGCATGGAGTGTGGCCAAACAAAATGTGAAAACACAAAATGGGGTTACACTGTGTGATACTAGTGCAAAAACAGATCTGTGGGCTTTGGTGGGCTAAAGTGGAGAGCAGTGAAAACATCCTAACAGTGATGGTGTTGCAATAAGAAAGGCTGATATTAACAGTAAAAATTAATCATTAAGGTTCAGTTTCCAGGCATGAATCAGTACGTTTCTCATGTCAGCTTGGACTAAACAGAACTAAACACTATATACATGCTGACATTATATATATTATATATATATATATATATATGTATATCTCACTCTGGTCTGAATTTGCAGCAGCAGTTGAGAACCGGAAAGAACTGCCTGAAAACTATAAAAACTCTGTTTTTCCCACAGCTAATGCTACCTCTTCACAATTGTAATAAAGGAATTCTGGGGAGCCAGGGAGCATATGTGGCTTACACACACTGTAAAATTTACTGTGCTGGGGTTTAATAAACACTCTCAGTTTGCAAATACAGAGCTTTCTGACAGCAGTCGGGATCCCAAGGTAGAATCATTGGCTGTTCTGCGGACTGCAGCAACAGCAACCACCTCCCAAAAGTATGAATTCATGTGAGTGCGACCAAACATCCAGTGATGTGTGATACACAGCCCTCTCTAAGTACTGCCTTGAAGTAATTCACATTTGCTGGCAGCTCCCCCATGAGCTTTGATTTAATCAACAGCTCCCATGCTCTGGGATGCTGTGGTAGGGCCCAGCAGAGATGGAGCAGCATTCAGTGCTTCCTCACCATCCTTCTCTCCCAAAGTGCTGCTGTATAACAGGGGGCTTCCAGACTTTAGAACACAGACTGACATGGTCAAGATAGACATTTAGAAGAGCTGGAAGAGACTTGCCCTGTCTGAGGACAGAGGAAAAGCCTCCAGACAAGTCTCTTTGCTCTAAACTGGTAGGCAATGCTTGCGGATATTGAAAACCTGGTAAATGCTATCAGTCACTCCTGGCAATTCGATTAACAAGAAACCAAGTTTCCAGCCTCACGTGCCAGACTAGCAAAGAAATGCCACAGAGAAGTAATTCTCCCATCTACAGAGGAAATAATGGATGTTTCATCTCCCTGGACTTGTGCCTCTGAAGCTATCAGCACTCTGACTCCATGAAGAGAAGGACAAATCTGTCCCCATGACTCGTCCAAGGGCTCAGACCACATTTTTGGCCCTGTACTTCCACCCTCATGTCTAAGAAACTGATGTAGTAATAGAAATATTCTTCCATCCTATACTCTGGACCTTCCATGAACAGTCAAGAAAGGCAGTTATGGCAAAGATGCCCCCAAAGCCAGCACTGCCTGCTTTCTTTAGCTCCCAAGGTGCAGTGGTGCACAGACTGACAGCCAGATCTTACTCACAATGGCTTTCATTTCATTTGCTCAAGGGACTCCAGGAGCACTAGACATCAGCAGACACCACAGATGGTAAATCATACCCTTTGCCACTCGTTTCACCTGTGCCTGTGTGTGTTCTGTGGCACTGCTGCTCCTGCTCTCCTCTAACAGCCAAGAAAGATGCAAGAGGAAGACTTACGGAATGAACACGACATTTGCAGAAGATAACTTGCTTCCAATCCGTTGTAAGGCTTGCTCTGTCCAAGAGGTGGAAAACACTACTCCAGGTATCCATTCCCTGAACCACAACTTCCTGTGCTGTGCTGGAGCGCCAGGCTCAGGACACTGGCTTAGGAAGTGTCACTTGCAACAGAAGCACAGATTGCAGCAAACGCAGCTGGTAACAAAGCTAAAATGTCTCCACAAAGCAAAACCACACTGACAAAGGGCCTGCCTCTTGCTGCAGCATTTCAACACTGCCAGAAAACTGCTTTCCTTTCTCTGTTTTCTGCTGCTTATTAGCAAACATCCCTCCTGCACCAAGTCCAAGACTGGAATTTCAGAATTACACACCCTGTTCCTCATTGCTTGTTCAGGGGTCTGGGGATACCATTATCAGCAGGGACTCCCAGGACCCTCTCACTACAGATACCGCCTTTGGCTTACCCTGCTGTCCCACCACTGCAAAGTTCTAGGACTGAGCCGTCTCTCTTTACTACAGAAATGAGCTGCCTGGAGTGAGCTTTGGCTGCAAGGACCATTTCTCATTAGGCACCTCTTTCACACGTTGCATTTGTAGGCCTAAGTACTGGTATCAACAACTCACCACTTTACTGCTAAGAATTCAGGGACAATTTTACCATCTCCCAGAAACTGAGCAATTCATTGCCTGTCTTCTTTGAAAAATAAACAGAGCCTGTCACAGACATTGATACTGAAATGATTCCAAAAGCACTTAGCAAACACCCTGCAAATCTGGAAACCTTCACAAGAAATTCATGGTCCTTCCTCTAGACATTTATTGCTCCCGTATTCTGCTCAAACTAAAAAGCAAATGGCTAAAATTTCTGCCATAAGGTAAAGAAAATGCTATAAAAATTAAACTGATGTAAACCAACAAAAATAAACAGATGCTAACTGGTAGAAAAGAGGGAAAGTAACCTTGTCACTGGCTAGAGAAAAAAAGGGTCATTAAAATGAAGTGATCCAAAGCCAGCAGAGTATCAAGGGAGCAAAGCGAATTCTGCAATATGTCAAAATCCTCTGCAGTGATGACTGTGTTCTGTTTGCTTTTCCATTGCTTGCTTTTCTTTACCAAATTAAAATAAAGAAGTTTTCCTCTAACATACTATTAGACAACATCAATTCCTTTACATGCTTTTAACTTCAAAAGAAAAACGTATTCCACTGAAGCTTGGCTTTGCAAGCTGCTCTTATTGAGGGCTTGCAATTATTTCAATTCCTTGCTCAAGCAAAAAAAAAAACAGCAAAAAGCCTTCAAAACCAACACTGTGTGCAACTGTCAAGCAATTCCTCCAGAAAAGACGAGAGATATCAGACACCAGCCATGCCTGCTGAAGGTACCCAGGTAATGCTCGGGGTAGAGCAGCCATGAGCAATCTGTGAGGAGGAGATAATGGAGGTGCTGATTGCAGTGAATCGCTTGAATTTCATCTGGTGAAGGGAAATCTGAGCTTTAGGATAAATTTAAGTTTCTCCCTTACAATCAACACGTTACCTATACATTTAAAACCTTAATGCGTTCTTTTTTGGGGTGGAGGTTTAGTCAGAAGGGGGATGTAATTTTCACTGAAAAAATACAACTTTTTCTAGCCCCTTTTCTAGCCAAATGAAGATCAGTGTTATGACAGCTCTAACCCCTCTGTCAAGATCCAGTTCTACCTGCACCAACACCTTCTCTGAAGAAGAGATCACAGTCTGCCATCCTCCCTGCAGAAGCATTCAGGAGAGAGGACATCTGTGTATTTCCCTAGTTCCTTTAATACTAGAGAAATCTCTAACAGTTAAATTTACACTGGCAGAAGGAGAACAAACAGCAGCTTTGTCCTGGCTTGGAACCGCTCACGTCAAGTCCCTGGAGAAGGGTTGATAATAAGCTGTGTGGTGTTAACAGCATTTCTAGCTCTCCTGCAGTCACCTGCCATTGCAATCATTTACTAAAACCACACAGCAGTCACTCATTGCAGTCAGTTACCAACATCATAACACATTAGCACATCCACGTCCATATGTCCGGTTAGAAAAGGCTCTTGTGTGTGCATGTGGATGCAAATAACAGCGCGTGGATGCAAAATTACTCCTCCTCTCTGGGAATAAAACTCACTGACACCCCTCATCTCTGCAGACATTGCATTTTAGAGGCCAGAGAGGCCCCAACAAAGTCTCCACTGAGTGTGGAAAAAGCGTTGTCAGCTTTCAGCTCACCCTGGTGAAGGCTCCCAGTATCGGTGCAAGCTAGGAATGCCAACAGCAGTGGGAGGGAATAGACTGAAAGTACTCAGCAAGGACCATTTCCATAGCAGAAGAGATTTTTGGTAAATAGAGCATTTGCTGTGTAAAAGCCGACTTCATTTTGCAGAAATTGCTCACAACACCCCACGTGCAGCCACCAGCGATCGCTCCCAGAGTCCCCTGTTGCAGCTCTCCTGACGCGCCATGGGGACATTTTCCAATGGAAAATTACCATTTGGAAAGTTTTTATTAAGAATTTGAAGCCCTTTGAATCTTGCTCAGTTCTTTACTGCCGCAAACACACTGAATAACATTGCTACCCCGACCACCCCACACCAGTTCTGGGGTGAGAAAGAGCTTTACCTGTTCGCACATCTCTGCTCTTTCATAGCTAAGCAGGCTGGAAATCCATGGATCGACAATCTGACTCAGTGCGTGCCAGATGGGGAACTAGGTGATACCCGACACACACTGCACCAGGGGCAGAATTACATCCTCAGTAAACATCTAACATATGTGAGGAAAAACCCCAGTATTTGTACAGAAAATGTTTCTCACCCTGGGTGACCCTTGTGTAGATGACAAAACGCTCATGAGCATCGTGTACTGAAGTACAGACACATACTGGAGAGGTTACTGGTTTTATTATACTTATTTCAAAAAGCAAACAGGAAAGAAGCAGATAATTAAGACTTGCTTACAAACAGGGGATTAGGTATCCAACAGCACAAGTCCATTTTGCAGAAAGAAAGTTAGTCTGGAAAAAGAAACAGAAGAGAAATAGAAATAGAAGGGAAGCCCATCTCAATGCCAACCATAAGCTCGTTGCTGTAGGGAATTCATGCAGCAGGTGGAATGACATAGGGAATACCTGTAAATTCAAAGGCAGAAACACAAGATATGCCAGCAGAAAGGCAAGAAAAGGGAAAGTTTTCAAAAAGCATTTCTGAAATCTAATGAAGAATCATTTTCAATCTCCCCAGTAGGAAAAATACTAACTGGCAGCTATTAAGGCTTTACTCTAAGATCCAACTAATCTATACTAGTGAGTTTTAGAGGAGATGAAGCTTTCTGAACTGCAAGGAATGCTGCTCAATAACACATTACAAAGTAGCGTGTCTTTGAGGTGATTTATGCTTTTTTCCAGCAGTGAGGAGGAGGCTGAGCTGGCTCTGCACCCAAAACCAGCCCAGTTTCTGTGTTACCTGCCCATTGCATCTCTCTCTGACACAAAGTGAGCAGAAATAACTGTGTATGCAAGGAAGATGCTGTAACTAACAGCCCCAAGTCACAGCAGCCTCTAACTGCTAAGTTAAGCTAGTTTTACACTCGAGGGTTAAACTACCACATGCATCAGCAATCATAGCTGTTTGGTCTGAAGGAATAAACACGCGCATACAGCTATATTAAGGTTACCTTCACTTGAAAATGAAAGGTGCGCATTTTGACATTTCATTTCATGAAGTACTGAAAATAACATTTTCATTCTGATAAAATTCAAAAGAGGTCAAAAAAAAAAAGGGAAGTTGCTAGCGGGTAGAAAATACAGACTGATAATAGCCTGATCCATGGGTATGTTACTGATCTGCTGATCTGAAAAGCATTTGATGATGATAATGATAATGTTTTTTTGCCCCCATCTTCCCACTTGTCACTCTATAAAAATGTACACCACCACTTAGAAGGAGCTATTAATACTTTCAAAATAACCCAAACAATCATCAGGAAACTGTGAAAAAAATTTAAGCAGACCCCTGATATTTGGTGACTGATTTGCAAATCAGAAAAGTTCTTCAATTAATTAATTTCATTTAATCTAACACTATTTGACAAGTCTTCTCATAGTCTATGTGGGCATTGCAATGCTTAGGTTGCACAGGCAGACTAAGCTGTCAGCCACATCTTCTCTAAACAGAATTAGTCTCCATTTGAAACTGTCCTGGGACTTTGGTGTTTTCACAGATAAATTAAGAAACTGCTTGTGTCAGTTTGGAGATCAAGCTCTCACAAAGGGAAGAATAAATATTCACTGAATAGCTTTTGTGATCTGGTGGGCTGGATTTAGAAGGTTGAACTATCAGCGCTCATGAGAACCTCAAGTGGAAAACAAAGACTGTCCAGTGGTGTATGAAGCACCAGTGCAACAAACCTCTTTATTTTTCCGGTGACTTTTCAAATCAAGCTTTTAAATTGACAAGCCTGAACTTCCAATGATGCTCCATCCCGCTGGCCTGGAGCAATAAGAATGCTCACAGTGATGATGCATTTAAAGCTATTTCCAGAAAGCACTTACAGCCCATAGAGAAGGTACAAACAGAGGCTTGTGGTTGTGTTTGAGGTTGTAAATCACTGCAAGTAGTACAAAACTCCCCAGGCGAGGTGGCCTTTGCGGTGGCTGCAGCTCATCTTGGCCCTGGGGAAGAGAAAGCATTAAGCAGCATGAGCAAAGCACACAGAGCATTTATGTTTTGTGTGGCCTTAAATGTCATGCTTATAAAGAGAGAATGCCAATTCCAGGCCGGAAGGGCAACATCAGGGACTGTTTTGCTACTCTTCAAAATAACCACTGCCAGAACTGTGAACAGAAAATCACAGATTGTGTGTACATCACAGAGTGCGACGTAAAACGGAAAGCTTCACTCTGGTATGAGCAATGAGAAAGGCTTTAATTTAGATAGAGTACACAGTATGGCCTTCACTTTTTTTATATCTCTTTGTGAGCAATGAGCTGAGCGACTGTGTACACAGTACACTCAGTCCTTGAGAGTTGAGTATGATGATTAACCTATCTACTTCCTAAGATCATACTCTGGTAGATGGGAAAGGAAATATTACATCAAGGCATTGGAACTCTGCATATATTTTAACGTGCATAACCACATTATCCAATTTATCATTGGGCTGCTGACCTCCTGTCTCGTTTGAAACACTGGGAGGTCAACTAATTCCTGCTTTAAATCTACAGAAATCAGGGAAATCCCATCAGAGATGAAATTTGTTCCACGTGGGCTTCTGAACAGCAGAATACCTTGTTGCTAAGGTTATCCTGAAGCCTAATATAGAGTTCATTTCATCTCTTAAGTTAAAAGCGACAATTTATCTGTTAAAGATAGTAATTGCACAGCAGGTCATCTCTCTTTTGGATGCAGCAAGCTGATTATTTATATACACTCCAGCTGTTTAGGAATGCACACCTGAAATCAATAGAATATTTGACTGTATATTGAGTCATGAAGCAGGTACTTATCAATATAGCCCTTTTGTCATCAATATTTTACCTTTTGTCCCATGAGGAATAGAATAGAGATGGTAAAAGGAGCTTTGCCTTGGAGGAGGCTTTTGGAAGCCTCACGTGATTTGTGAAGGTTGATTTAAAAACCCCAAATAAACAGTCTTTCGCTGTGAGCTTCTGCACCCAAAAGTTTAATTCTTCCTTCTCAACTGAAAAACCTTGCTATCTCCTACAATAAAAATAATATAGGCTAAATAATCAGTCATGAAGATGTCTGAAGACAAAGTACTTGATAAGATTCCAACCAGGCCAGATTTTTAAGTGGTATGGGCAGGGTGGCTGGAGTCTTTGATCTCTAAGGTCCCTTCCAACCCAAACCAATCTGTGATTCTATGTTTTCCAGCCTTATTCTGCAAGGAGTTATGAACTCAATTAAATGAAGACTCATGCAGGTCCTGGACACGAGCTGGCCACGGTCCACAGAACAACCCGGTTATTTTGGCACTTTCCAAATACACAGATAATCACGCATTCAAGTCCAAGCGCCTTGATACATTAATGACAAAAAAGCCACAAAATGCAATGCATTTCACTGCTCTGCAGGCTTAGCAGCATATGCTAAGCTTCTAAAGTAACAGCTGAGCCTTCCTGCTGCCTCCCTTAGGGCTTTGGAATAGGTCTTTATTTATCTGCCTCACAGACACCTCTTCCTCATATTACTGAACTAATCCAAAGAGATTTCTCTGATAAAAGCTGCAGTGCTCATTTCCTCTGCATTTACAGATTCTACTGCTACAGACCAAAGGCAGATAGGATTATAGGACACAACACACAGTTTTTAAGTTTACAATACAGAAAAGAAGAATATGTGGAAAAAATCGTGTTTCTTCCCTTTTCCCTGCTCTCACACCAATATGTTGGATAAACTGTATATTGCTCCCAATGGCAGCTCATGCATCATCCTGCGCTGCCAGCCAAACAACCTGGGAAAAAAAAGGAGAAAGACAGGAATATAGAGAAGATAGAGCACAAGATTCTTCTTCCCAAGTTAAAGAAGAAGCTCTAAAACTGGTTCTTATCTCAGCTTTTACCAGTGCACTCTTCAGCAGTCTGAGCCTTAGGAAGGGAGACGTGCAGGCAGGAATTGGTGCTGTACCCATTGCAGTGCTAGGAAGCAGCGCAGCATTAGCAACACACAGCCAGGACAGTAGAGAGCAGGAAGAGAGTTATTTCTGGAGGTGTCTGTTATGATAGTGATACAGGGTTAACCAGTGTACAAGGGGGTTGTACAAGGGGGTTGTACAAGAGGGTTAGAGGAATTTGCTTGCTTAAACAAAAGTATTGTCTGTTCCTATCATGCCTACTAAGCAGAACAAAGGCGCTAACTATTGGTAAGGAAAAGTAGACACCTGGTTCGATTGACAAGGAAAAGCAGAGCCTGATTCTACTGATAACCAGCTATTGATAAGGAAAAGCAGGTGCCTGAAGGGGGAGAAGCAGATGGTTTATGGCTGGGACACCGACCAAACCCTAAGGCCATACATGAAGACTAAAAGGTGAAAAGTGCAAGAAGAGGAAGACTCATTTACTTCATCTTGAAGATCCCTACCCACAGGAGGAAGACTCATTTACTTCATCTTGAGACCCATGCCCATGACCAGAGGGGGCACTTCGCAGGTGCAAAGGACCTTCTGGCTCATTATAATATGAAGCAGGGATAGGAGATGAATATGTATACACGTATTGTGCAACCTTATTAATATATATAACTTTAGAGAATAAATGTAGAGGGAAACAACCCTGAGGCACGCATGACTTTGAGGAATTATCCCCGTGAGTCTCAGCGCTGAATAAAAAGCATACCTACTTTACAACTTTCACAAGTTGTGGAGTCAATCCGCAAATCAATAGGATGGCGAGAGTCATCACAATTTGTAGTCAAAACTGTTGTAGGGTGCACCTAAGCACATTTATTACCCTGCACATCAGGCAAAAGCTTTCATTTGCTCCTACCTAACTAGCATGATGGCTCCTATCTAACTAGCACAGATGGCTCTTCCCCTTTTTGTTGGAAGCACACTGAGAAAAAACAGGGAGGTGACAAGGGCAGAGTCAACCTCTGATAACTCTGCATGGTCTCCCTTGAGCTATACATAGAGTCACAGACTGGTTTGGGTTGGAAGGGACCTTAAAGCTCATCCAGTTCCAACCCCCTACCACAGGCAGGGACACCTTCCACTAGACCAGGTTGCTCCAAGCCCCGTTCAACCTGGCCTTGAACACTGCCAGGGATGGGGCAGTCACAGCTTCTCTGGGCAATTTGTGGCTTCCCCCCTCACAGGGAAGAACTTCTGCCTAAGAGCTCATCTAAATAGATATTAGGAAAAAAAAAACATTTGGGATTTTTCTTCTGTAAATTGGCTTTCTCACTCAGACTTAGCATCTTTTTTTCTGTTAAGACATTCTCTGTTGATACTTGATTTTAGCAGAGGCAGCATTAGGTTCTTGTGCTTGCAGACATCCACATGCACAATAAGAAACTTATAAATGGTTTGCTGAAAGTAATTGCACCAAGTCTTTATTGTGATATCTTGAAAGATAACCTGAGAAAAACTGTTAGTTCTCAAAAAAACAGATTGTTAGCTTGGTTTTGGTAGCCTCAGCTGACACAGTAATTGCCACTCTATCTACTGCACTCACTCCCACAGAGCAGACATTTGATTTCCAAGACGACAGCTAAGAAGAGCCTGTCAGCTTTCAGACTACAAATACTTTCCTCTTTACTTGCCCAATTACAGTTGAAAAGATGTAAGGGAAAAATAGAGTGATTCAAAGCATCTCTACTATCATTACTAGCACCTTCCACTACAAAAGAGTATTTTCCTTGTGGCATAAAAACACGTGTTGGTGCTTAACACTGACCAAAGCAACTCGATACACACAGGTCTATCACATTTACCAATACCAGCTTGCCCTTTTTTGCCCTGCCACGGCAGCAACTACCTCTCAACATTCACCGCTTTCTTACTAACTAGTCTCATGTACAGAGGTTTCTCTCGTAGAACATGAACAGAAGTCAGTGCCTGGATTTTCCAGTGTGTTTAACTTACTGCTACTGTGTCAGCCAATGCACAGAATCCAGAACACAGAACGGTTTGGCTTAGAAAGGACCTTAAAGATTACCTAGTTCCAACCCCCAAATTCAGTTCTTATTGTTGAAACCCATCCAGCTGGTGAGAGTTAAAAGCACATCTCAAAATACTTGGGAATGTGCTACCTTCCACTTCTCTTTTGCATAATAAAGCTCTGCTGTTCCCCCAGCTTTTTTAGGGTTTCAAAGGCTTGTTTAAAGCAAACTGCCTCACCTGGATGCTAAGTGTGACAATTGGAAATCCCAAAGTACACAATGTGTTGGCAGAGGAAACTTAAAATTCCTCCTCTTTTCTCCTGATAGGAAGACGTAAAGAAGAGATTTGTTCTCTTCATCTCCTGTAGAATTTTACTAGGAGATTTTTCTATGGAGGAATGACAGATAGGAAAAGATACAGACTCTAGCGCATTTTGTTTTGCTTAGGAGCCCGTCGTCAATGACCCCAGCTCACAATTAGGAAGTACAACTTCCCTGCTAAGCTGCTGTTTGCTAGAAGCTAAACTTCAATTGCATCGCTGCCTTGTGTTTTCCATAAAATCCCCAAAGATGTGAGTTTGTGGGCTGGGGCTGGAAACTGCAGTTTGGAACTGCATTTGGAGGAAGATTTGAATGCTGAGAAAATTGCAGAAATCCCTTGTTTTGTAAAGGAGATTTTGAAATCTGGCAGCCAACAGTTCTTCCCAATCCTCCTTAACACAGACCCACCTGAAATTGGCCTCTCTTGTTGATGCATCACATTAAAGACTTCTGTACAGGGGAATGAATTTTCTTTATTTCAGACTGGTTTGGTTTTCCTCTACAATACATAGTGTTATTTCTTCCAATAGCTGTTTTTAGCTTATTTTTCAGCAGTACTTTTGCCATCTTTTTCATAAGCAACTTGCCCACAGATAGCAAAATGAGATAAGCACACCACCAATGTCCACGCAATGTCCAGGTCTGCCTTCCCTTCACTTTGATGCAAACATGATCCTCCACAGTGATATACTAGGAGGAACTCTCAATGTTGGGCACAGTCACTTCCACCATCACGAACCTTTACTAATATAGAAGCACAAAACCCTTGAGAGCCTATATTTATCTAGTACCAGCATTAGGAAGTTTTCACATGCCTAAACATGGTACCTCAATTCCTGCTGGAGTAAACCCAAAACATACCCCTTAACTAAGCCTGGACTGAAAAGCCGGCCAGTCTGGACACAGC